TACGTAGGCAGCCTGAAGTTACTAGGTGCAGCCACAGATTAGACCCCACTTAGGTGGTCTTATTGAGATTGGTTCGGACCTTGTTGTTGGTCCTGAAACTTGGTTGAATTGAGATTGATCCTGAGGACTAAGTGAGTGAAGGTGTGCGTAATTAGATTTTGAATTTGGTATATGCATGTTTGATGCATTAAGTTATTTTAAAATTATTGTGGGCAGTTCTGCTAGAATCATTTGAAGGCCGGAGGCCATTTATGTAAATTGCGAGATTATATTGTGCATGCTGCCGGTTGGGTTATAAAATGCGTTCTTTGCAGGCGGAAATTTTGGGGAAATGTTCAATTTACAGGGGAGACTCTGCTGAAATTTCGGCAGAAAGTCTCGTGCCCTTAATCCTCTCTGGTAAACGAGGACATAGATTTAAGGAGTGAACCCGGCGTGGGTGTGATGCCGGGGTCTCCGCAGGGTTCGTCTCGGGTTCCGGGAAATTCGGGACGGGTCCTGTCACTCATTCTTTCAACCAACGTTTTCCCCATTTCAATAATAAGGTCAGTAAACTTCAAGGCATGATAATTTGCTCTACACCTAAGCTTTTGTAAATTTGAATCCAACTTATTTGAAAGCCTGTAATCAAACTTTGTGAGCTGAACAGCCTGCACATTATAAAGCATAAAAAAACAACTGTAAATTCTACATAACCTGAAAAGGCACTCATTCAAGCACCAGAAGTTTTTCTTCCTTGGTTATATGCACCAGCATATCATAATTAACGAATTCCTTACAAAAATGTGGTAGGTTCTCCTGAAAGACACAGACATGCTTTTTATTAAGAACAGGCACTAAACGATTCTGGTAGCATTTTGCATTGCACTTCCTTGGGACACGCATGGTATATGGACTCATTGGTTTTCCTCTCTTTGTTGGAAGCTGTTTAATGATTTCAACATCTTTTGACAGAGATGATATAAACCTGTCTACATCAAAGATTTCATCAAAGTTGCTGCACCAAATACCCGAATAACAATATTAATCCACCGACTGTTTTGCTTACATTGACCTTCACAGTAGTTTTTTATCTGTGATATGGTGAAACTGACCTGGAATCCTTCCAAAATGATTTCTGGTCCAGCTTGGGAACAACAAGAGTAGCATTCAAGATATAAGCTGCAACAACAGCATCAGTTATCTGTAACAGAATCAAGAAAGGAAGCATCAGATGCTGAATCAGCAGAAAAAACATGCATGATTACAAACCAGTCTTATCACTCATGGAATGAAAAAGTTACAAAGTCCTATCAACTAGTCTTATACATGATCTACTTATAACAATCCACATTTAGACTAATAATGAAGCCATTTGGAATCTGAATGCATAACCACAATGTTCTTTAAACTAAATTTCTTCTAAGCCTTAAATGAAGATATTATTAGAACGATAAGTTAGGCCTCGAATGGAAGAAAACTAAGATGGGAGTCGACTGGATAAATAAACTAATAATGCAGCTCCGGCTCAATCAAGAAACTCACCCCCTCTTCTTTGTTGGTTTAAGCCTCCACTAGTAGCAGTCAACAAATATGCTTTCACATAAGCAGCTGCAACATTTAGGGCATTGGTTTTGTAAATCAAAAGCCTCAGATAAGTTAACCAAAATCCTAATAGAATCGATTCAATTACGACGTCATTACTGCAACCATGGAGAAAGAAAGGCATAAATAAAGTTGATTACTTTACTTGTAAAGTTATCGGCGGCATGCTACCATGGAACAAATCCGATTTCCTTGTACACTTGTTCGATCTATCTCTTTACACTGTTTCTTCAATATCAAACTGGGGAACCAGCACTGGTGGAGATGGAAGAAGAAGAAGGAGGAGGAGGAGGAGGGAGGAGGAAGGAGATGGTCTGGAGTTTAAGTACGGCACCATGAGCTGTGATACGCCGTCGTTTCAGAGTGATGAATGAAGGTGACGGAGTGTGCCGGTTGTTGCCAGATGGGTGTGGGTTAGGATTTTTTACCACGTCTCACTCTCACAAGCACAACTCCTTTCACCATCAGTCATTGGACCCGACCCGACCACAAACAAAGGTTTCCCTTCTTTGAATCCAACTTGGATTTTCAGTCTAATTTCCAAACAAAACCCAATGATTGAGACGAAGAAGTTTGGGAGACAAAGCCCAATGCTTGGACATTTCCATAATTTGATGTTTCATTTTTGGATTTTTCGTTGGTTTTATTGATGTTTTTAAGACTTTATTATGTTTCTTTCAGCTTTTTCATTAGCAATTCAATTCAGTGAATGACTAAACTACCCTTTCATATTGTACAAGGAATCAACAATTTCTTTTCTTGTAACGATGCAGAGGATAGGAGGTGGATCAAGAGAGATATTTACCATTTAATTAGTTATTTTATGAGATATTGTTATTTTTTTATTTAGATATTTTAAAGATTTCTTTTATTATTTATGTGTGATTTTATAATTAATTAATTTACTTTTGAACCACGTAGACTTGGCTCTTGGCACTTGGGTTCAGAATGTTAGTGATTTTCATTCAATAAGTGGTCTAAAAATATCGAGCATCCTCTAGATTTTCTTCTCTTGTTGGATATTTAGAGAGAATTATTAGTTATTTTGTTGGACAATTGTCATCCCAAATTGATTTGGGAAATCTCTATTTCCGTTTTGGCTTTGTATAATAAAAGTATTTGAGTTGAGTATTTGTGAATTTAATTGCCTTCAATTTGTCTTTTGTATTTTTTTTTTGTTCCTTTTTGATAAAAGTCAGAGTTTGAATGGTTTTGAATTTTCTTTAGTTTGATCTGATGCCTTCTTCTCTGCTTTGAACGCGTGGAAGTTTCTTCACAGAAAGTCTCTCTCTCTCTCTCTCTCTCTCCTTAGCAATTCATTAGTCTCTCTGCAACATGGTCTCGTCTCTTGTCAAATTCTCCCTCATATTGTCTTGTACCAAAAGTAATAAAAGGAACAACTTCGTACGTAAAACGCATAAACAGGGGGGCCTATTGTCACTTTAGCTAGAAAGAAAAATTCCTACTCAAAAGCAAAAGTTGGTGCTGCCACTCTCAGCCATTATCCCATATGCCCTTTTCTTTCTTCAGTGCTTGAGTAATTATTCCTTTCCTCTTTTTCCATCTCTGATTATTTTCCTGAATCGTTTTCGAGCTTTGTACAATTAATAAACTAAAATTCTGATCTAGCTGCAAGCAACTGCTTTCAATTCTCTTTCTTCCTAAACAAGAGAGGCTACAACTCTCTCAAGCTGGCAGTGGCAGTGGCAACTTATTTCTAGCTATCTCTCTCTCTCTCTCTCTCTTGCTTAATTGGCAATATCAGATTCTCTTTCTTCTATATCTAAATACTCACAAACTGCTTCCTATCTTTCTTTCTAAACAACAAAGGTCACAAATCAATACATACATACATCCATTCTGGAGATTTTTTTATCCCTCATTTCTCATTCTCAATATATACATCCTATTTGGAGGAGCTAGCCCAGATACATGTATATGCATGCATGTTTTGACTTGTAGGTTTGCAGGTTGTGGATAGGGATATGAGTTCATCTTCTTCTTCTTCTCTTCCTTTTGCAACCCCCCTTCAAACAAAGTACGATGTGTTTCTTAGTTTCAGAGGTGAGGACACACGCGATACTTTTACTAGCCATCTTCACAAGGCTTTACTTGGGAAGAAAATTGAGACCTACATGGATTACAGACTGGAGAAAGGAGACGACATTGGACCTGCCCTTCGGGAAGCAATCGAGAAATCGAAGATTGCAGTAGTCATTTTCTCAGAAGACTATGCTTCTTCCACATGGTGTTTGAAAGAACTTACGCATATACTAGGATGCAAGGAAAGATATGGACAGATTGTTATACCCATTTTTTATGGCATAGATCCATCACATGTACGAAAACAGGGAAGTTATGGACATGCAGGTCGTCAACTTGAGAAACGTTTTAAAGACAGTAGGGATGAGGTGGTCAACTGGAGGGCTGCTTTGAAGGAAGCAGCCAATATGTCTGGGTTTCATTATTCAAGAAAAACAGGGTAGCCAACTCTCTAACTTGTATCAAATTCTATTTGTGATAATTTGATTCATACTTACTATTGTTTGTCCTTCATTATGATATTTGCCAGGACAGAAGCCGATTTTGTTGAGAAAGTTGTCCTAGATGTTTTGACCAAATTGAATCGTGAATCGTCAAGTGATTTAAGGGGTCTGATTGGAATTGAAAAGAAAATTGAGTTCATAGAGTCGTTATTATGGTTAGATTCACCAGGTGTTTGCTGTGTAGGTATTTGGGGCATGGGCGGTATTGGCAAGACCACCCTTGCTGATGCTGTATTTCACCGACTCTCTTCTAAATTTGAAGCTTCGTGTTTTCTTACAAATGTGAGAGAGAACTCAGAAGAAAGAGATGGAATATACCACTTGCGTAATAAACTTCTTTGTGAGATATTAAAGGAAAAAGATCTAAATATCCAAACTCCGTCTATATCACCTATTATTCGACATAGGCTCAGTCGTACGAAGGCGCTCATTGTTCTTGATGATGTGAATGCTTCAAGCCAACTAGAAGTTCTTGTTGGTGACCATGATCGGTTTCTCGACGGAAGTGTAATCATCATAACTGCTAGAGACAGGGGCCTACTTGAGGAAAAAGTTGATAGGATATACGAGGTTGAGGGATTAAGATTCAATGAAGCTCTTCAGCTCTTCCATTGGCATGCATTCAAAAATAAGTCTCCAACAACGGATTATACTGAGTTGTCAAAAGAGGTGGCAAAATATGTTAAAGGCATTCCATTAGCTCTTAAAGTTATGGGGTCCTCATTCCTTCGTTGCAAGAGCAAACAAGAGTGGGAAGATCAGTGGAACAAATTGAAACGATTTCCAAGCGAAGAAATCAAGAAAGTGTTGAGACTAAGCTACGATGGATTAGAAGAAAATGAGAAGGAGATATTTCTTGATATAGCATGTTTTCATAAAGGCGATAACATGAATGATGTAAAAGTGTTATTAGATAGTCGTGGTTTCTGTGGGGAAGTCGGAATCAAAGTTCTCATTGATAGGTCTCTCATATCAATTTCAAAACGCGAGTCCATAGAGATGCATGATTTGGTGCAAGAAATGGGTAGGGCAATTGTTCGCAAACAATGTATTGAAGAACCCGGAAAACGCAGTAGGTTGTTCATTGCAGAGGATGTCTATCAAGTATTGACAAATAACCAGGTACGTAGTTCATGTTATATTCACATTTACAATAAACAAGTTACAAATATAATTTTGATTCAACATATTGTATATTAGTTCACCTTTATACTTTGCTCTCGATTATTAGATAACTGCAACTGTTCCAGCCATATCCTTTAACTGGTCTAAGATTGAAAAGCTAAACTTGAATCATGCAAACTTCGAAAAGATGTGTCAGCTGAGATGGCTACGTGTTGGGCATTCTAAGTTTTCCGAGAGGAGCGCCGTAATGGATTCTCTTGATCTTCCCAATTCTCTTAGTTATCTTCACTGGCACAAATATCCTTTGAAATCTTTGCCATCAAAATTTTCTCCTGTAAATCTTGTTGAGCTTCATCTGCCGTCCAGCCAAGTTGGGGCGCAACTTTGGACTGAAGACCAGGTATACATGATTATTTTAGTTCTTGTATGACATGTGGCATAGAAAGTAATAATATGCAACTATAAGCTATTAATTCTTGTCATTTCTATTTAATTTGTTACAGAATCTTATCAACTTAAAAGTGATCAGTCTTTGTTGCTCCTTTCATCTAACTGAAGTTCCAAATCTCTCTCGGAGTCTAAAAATTGAGCGTATAGATCTGGGTTGCTGTTTAAGTTTGGTTGAAATTCCTTCGTACTTTGAAGATCTTGACAACCTTACTTATCTTGGACTTGGGCAATGCATAAATATCAAGACTCTTCCAGAGATGCCACGCAATGTTAAATTCTTAGATTTATCTGATACATCAATAAAGGAATTGCCTTCATCAGTTTGGTCTCACAAAAAAATTTCTGACTTTAATATTAGTTATTGTAGAGCCCTTGAGAAGCTTCCAAGCAGCAGTTGTAACCTGAATGTCTCCGGTACTTTTAGTCTACACGGCTGCCAATCTCTTCGCGAGTTTTCAGAGCTTCCCAGGTATACAAGAGTGCTAGATTTGAGTGAGACGGCAATAAAAGTATTGCCCTCATCAATCGAGTGCCTCTTTGGTCTCACTGAAATTAATATGTCCTCTTGCAAAAGTCTTGTGAGTCTGCCAACAAACATTTGCAAGTTGAAATCTCTTGAGAGACTTAATCTCAGTTTTTGCTCTAAATTTCAGTACTTCCCAGAAGTCTTGGAGCCTATGGAACATCTGAAGCTTCTTATTTTATCATGTACATCAATTAAGGAGCTACCCTCATCGATTGGAAACCTAATTAGGCTTCAAGAATTAGATCTCCATGAGTGTAAGAAGCTTGAGGTTGTCCCGAACGTCATCTACAATTTAAGCACACTTCAATTTCTCAATTTTGATGGCTGTTCGAAATTGAAGAAATTGCCTCCCGTCTCAGTAGACTCAATCGGATTGCTTTCTTTGGAAGACCTATACCTCAGGAAGTGCAGTATACTAGAAATCCCTGATGGCCTCGTTCGCTTAACCTCATTACGAGGGTTAAATATGAGAGAGACCAAAATTAAGAGCATACCTGCAAGCATCAAACAAGCTGCTCAGCTGTCTCGCCTACGCCTAATCGATTGCAAGAGCGTAGAATCTTTACCAGAGCTTCCCCCATTTCTGCAACGTCTTGAAGCACGAGGTTGCACGTCACTGAAGACAGTCTCATCAAGTTCAAGCACTGCACTCGCACAACGTTGGGACGAATATATATATTTTCCAGGGCGTCATGAGATACATAATTTTTCTAG